AGAGAGAGAGAGAGAGAGAGAGAGAGAGAGAGAGAGAGGGAGAAAGAAAGAGAGAGAGAGAGAGAGAGATTATTTCGGCAATGTGCGCTTTTTATTTTAAAATACGACAGTGTACCAGTGGATAAATAAATTGCAAAAAACAATGAAAAGCAATTTCCATGTCAGCGACCCAATTTAGTGTCACGAGTCACAAGCTGCGATAATATAAGGGAAATCCCCTCAAGGTTTTTCCCCCCTGTCTTCAAGTTTCCAAAAATAGATAGAATATCACCCAATGACGACATACCTGGTAAAATCCGGAAATAGTCTTGTTTCACAGCTGTCTTCATGACAGCGCCTCCATAGCTCAGTGGTTAGAGCACTGGTCTTGTAAACCAGGGGTCGGGAGTTCGATCCTCCCTGGGGGCTTGTTATACGGCAACAATTTTTTTTATTTAATTTTTTTAAAAATTACGTTTGAGCTTAACCGGAATTCCGTTAGAAATAGAAATTACTTTCGGCGGTAACAATTTACGCTTTCGAATTTGCAACAAAACACATAATAATACAGCATTGTGACAGCAAGCGGCATGCAGTACTTCGAGATCCCGTGCTCTTTTGTTTTTGAAAGGTGGATGATATTATAATACCAATGTATATCTTACATAAAAATATTACTGAATTTTACTAGATAAATTTTTCATCAATTTGGTCATTGTGTGGGAATACAATGTAACGTAATTATTTATGCTGCTGTAAACATGAAAAACAAAGTTGTCGATCTCATTTAAAGGATAAAACAGACAGAGAGAATACAGGCAAGCGGTTTTTTTTCGAATTCTCCTTTTTTTCTGCGAAAGACAAACGGCTTGCGCGCAAATTTCCTCAAGATGACCAACGCGCGAGAAGATCGAACTTGATTTTTGCATAAATTATGAACATTCACAGACAGACGCGTCATGGCGAACTTACTAAAAACAGAAACTCAGCTAAACACGAAAGAAACTGATTTAAATCAAATCGAAAACTGATAAAATTTCATCACCAGTCGTAAAAATATCCATCTAATCTATTTCTTACGCCTTTTCAGTGATATACTGAACATCTGTTTGTATATGTCACGAACTAATTACGGAGAATTTTAAATAATATCAAAACATTGAATCTTCGTTTCGTATTATTGCTCTTGTTACATATATTTTAAAAAACTGAAACAAGCTATTGCCACAGCAAGATGGCGGCTTTACTTGTGGGCTCCTTGTCGACAAGAAAAGTTTCTGCTCATCACCGCTGCAATTTCTGCTTTTGAAAGTAAATAATGTTTTCATAAAATGCTGTAAGCACCTAAGTTAATGGCTCTATAATGCATTTTAGCATAGAGTCTAGGTGTATCAAATGATAAATAAAATTGTTCGCTCACTTCCATCCCTTGTCTGCTGTCTTATTTCCAAAGCTCTCTTGCTACCCTGCACAACACACAAATCCTACATCTCTGGTCACAGTTATAGTCTATATCAGTATCTCATAGTCACCCAGTGCCAGTATGCATTACTATAGGCTGCTGAACTTTGCACCTTCTTAAACATGCTTTACAAATGAAGTAAATAAGTATAATCTTATATATAGTGAAAAGTGGGCCAAGTTTTACAGGACTAGAATTTTTGGGATAAACATCCCCATATGATGTTATCAGGTTATTTTACCAGTTTTACAAGGGGAAGAATTAAATTGAGGGAGGGGAATTAATTTATAGTCTTATCAATTTGGTTATGACTGGCTTATTAGCAGAATGTAGTAGGGATTATTACAATGGATACATGCTGAAGTAACTTTGGCTGGCTTTACATTCAATTGTTTAGTAAAGTTACACTACTACACTAGATCTAGACTTTTACTTTTGAATCAAACAGTTGTACCAAATTATAATGAATTTCAAAACTTAATGTCAGATTGGAAAAGGAAGCCCATGTCATCAATTGTGAAAGAAATACCGGTCTGGTAAATTTTGTGACAAGGGTACTCCATTGTTACAAATTTTATGCTCTTTCGAGTAGGCCTAGATTCTAACTAACTAAAAGATTGTTTCTCTTCTTGAGTTTTAGTACTGTGTACTAAGAATTTGCCAAGCAAAGTTGTAGGCTGTTGGCTGACTTCACGTAGGTTCCAAGTAGTTTTGGGACCTGAATCTTTCACGACGATGTTGAAGGCCTTTTTTTTGTCATTTTGCAAATTTTCAGTTTCTTTTCTCTTCTTTTTTTCTGTCTTATAATTTCAAAGAGAGATTTCAGAAAAGCTCACTTGTGTTCATTTCTTTCTGGAGGCAAAATTACTAACAATTTTTCAGATACTACTCTTTCTACAGTTTTCAAAATGTTACAGAACAATTTGTCTTGCCGAACTGTTTCTTAAAAAAAGAAATATATTAATTACTATTTTATGATTTTATTTTAAGCATACTGAGACTTGCTAAAGGCATCCTTTTAGCTTTTAACCAATAATGTCATCAACTTTATTACTCTTTTCGCCTTTTTTTTAAAGTCAGTGTAATAGTCATGTTGTGGATAATCTTTGGAAATTTAGCATGCATCTTCCAAAAAAATGGTCATGTTCATCAATTAAATTGCATTCTGAAAAAATTCAAATCCATTCAATTTTACTGATTGATAGGGGTGCCTTGAACGCAGACTTAATGTTTAAAAAAACAATCTGACACACACACGCACACACACACACACGCACACACACGCACACACACATACACACACACACACACACACATACACACACACACACACACACTCTCACACACACACACACACACACATGCACACACACACAAGCACACATGATGCAAACACACACACACACACACAAACACACCCAAAAACATACTCACATGCACAATCACAATCATACTCACACTCACATACTGTCCTAATATCATGAGAAGCAAGCTCCGCTCAATGGTAACTAACTACTTGCACCATAGAGTAATGTTTGTCTTTTCTTTTACTTCTTTATCTTTGTACTCTACTCTCTTATATAAATTTTTTGCCAAACTAACAACCCTGGGTCATAAGCTTTTATCTCAGTTTTTAAAGGGGTTGTCTTGTTGTTTTTTTAAATTTTGATTTTCAATCCAATTTGCTATGCATTGTTTCTCAAAATTATTGATTCAGTAATAAGTTTTTATTTTTTTCAGGACTAGCAAATACATCGGAGAGTTGGAAAATATCTTTTATCTTAACGCCAGTGACAATGTCGACCCAGCTCGCCTCAGAGCCCTCTACTTCAGGCGTGATGAAACCCTCTGCCAACCCCCCTCTCCATATTCAGACAGGAACCATGCAAAATACAAATTCTAATTTTAGTGGCCCTGTTGATCGTCAAAACTCTCATGGTTCAGTGCCATGTTCTCCTCAACCCCCAATGTCTCCGGACCCAGTGCATGACTTGCCACCAGAGTTACTGCAGGCGGGCTGGAGGAAGTTCTGGAGCAAGCGGGAAGGTCGGCCTTACTATTTCAACAAAATCACAAATGAGTCATTGTGGGAGACACCTTCACTCGGTGCTGTGGTGAGTCAGTGTAGTTCAGCCTAGATGAAGAAGATTGAGCAGCTGTTTCTGTTTATTTGTTTTATGTGTAAGCATTTATTTTCAAGTTCTTTTGATTTAGTGGGCCCAGCATTGTGGGTTTACTGCCCTTGGAGGTTAATTCTTTGCTTTGCTGAAGCGTGATATATTGCCTGTGGTTAAATTTCAAGTCATTCTCTTTATTTTGCAAGCTTCTTGTGGCCTGAGATGTTTAGATATATTAAGATTAAGATGATAAAATAAAGACCCGGTGTTAGAAATGAACATTTTTTTGTATGAGAATTAAGGCTCCGGAAAGGATTGTAAATCTGAAAACTAAGCAGGGGAATTTGGATTTTTGTTGTTGAGATTTTGTTCCTCTTCATCTTTCCGGATTTTTACTCGTTTGTGTAATGAGCCCATTCTTTGATTCTACTTGTTAGCACGACCCTCTGACAGACCCACTAGGAATCAACTCAGATGAGAGTAACGGCCCAGGGCCTCCTGGGGCACTAGACAAACGGCTGAGTCGACAGAGCACAGAGATCCCTCCCCCAGGGGGCAAGAGGAGAGCAAGTGCTGAACTTTGTATTGGGAGCCCCCTGAAAAAGGCTCAGCTGAATTACAAGTGAGTCTGTTGTTTGTTAATGACTGGGATTTTTCCTGGTGCATTATGGTTTTTTTTAAATCATGGAAAGAGAAAAGTGTCCCTTCGTCATAGACAAGTTTTTGTACCAGGTAAATGGATTTCAACTATTTTTTGGGTGTTATTGATTTGGATCATTGGGCTAGTTTCTGATGACTCACTGACCTGTTAACTAGATAAAGTGAGAAGTTCCCTACTGTGTTTTCACAAAAATTATTGATTGGCTGAGGTATGTAGTAGTGTTGTTTGTGGTGAGCAGAACTTCAAATTACTTGTATGTATACATAAAGTGAAAAAGATGTATAGGTATAATTTAAATGATGAACAGGGAAAAATAAAATGTCATTGTTGACTAAAATATATTCATAACTTTTTGGGACAAATTCTGGTGTTTCACAACGGGCCTAATGGCATCTTTGATATATATATGTCTTCAGACCGTTTTGGAACTTTGATGTACCCACCAATGCTGTGATTAAAGAACGAGCCCCCGTGCACATGCCCCCACCTCACCCTGAGGTGGAGATCTTCAGACACACTCTCATCAGCAAGCTGCGGCAGATCTACCAGGATCTATGCCACCAAAGAGAAGGTCAGTAAATGAGGGTTGTATTCTCTTGTTTTCTGTCATGTATTTTGTGTTTGTTTAGCAATGTGCATTCACATGAGTAGGTTCATGTCACTGCTTACATATTTTTTCTTCTATGTGGTTGCTTGTTGAGACCTGCTTTGTCTGGTATGTGAGATTGTAGGAGAGAGAGAGTGAGGGAGCAGGGAGGATTATTCACATGCTGTATTGGAGAATTCAAATATGTGATTTTGTTATTTTAAAGGACACAGCACTCTCTATTTGAAAGTTCTTTCGTGATTGACGTTTGTTGCCTTTTAAAATGAATTGTTAATGGTCTGATTCATCAATGTCATGCTTATAACTGTGCCTGTGCTGCAACAGGGAATTGCTGCTTTTTCTTTCCTTATCCTTACTATCGTCATTTTTCCTCTACTTCTTTTGCATGTTTGTTACACTCCTGTGACCCTGTATTTCCGGGGTGCCTTGATGGTCGAAACAGACTTTGTGCTGTTGAAGCTTGAGAGGTAAGCAGAGTAAGCCTGATTCCCTGTAAAGACTTCTCTGTTGACATCCACCCCTTGGCGCTCATATGACCTTATGCAGTTGCGAGCTCCGTAAAAACTCTACTAAAACCAAACTGAACTAATTGTTGGTCTGTCATACCTTTTCATCCTGATTGTTATAGCTATCTCTGCAACCACCATATCTGTGTCTGTCTCTCTTCAGGTTATTTGATTACCATATTTTTTAGTCTTTTTGTACCTCAAATAATGCTTTTACAGAATATGTAACACGCTATAATCATGAAAGTAAGGTCTTCTCCTAAAACGTCTTTCTTTGAAAAATTGGGCTTGAGATGTTTCCTTTTGTCCACTTAGATTTGTAATAGCCATGGGCTACTTTGATTTTCTTGCCAGGCATCGATGCCCCGGTGGATTCGTTCAATCGATGGCTGCTGGAGCGTAAGGTCATTGACAAAGGCAAAGATCCAATCCTACCTTCAGATTGTACACCAGAGCTTTCCCAGCAGATGATGCATGAGATCATGAATGACATCCCTGTCAAGTTAGTCAAACCAAAATTCTCAGCTGATGCTCGGAAGCAACTCTACAGATATGCTGAGGCTGCCAAGAAAATGATCGAGACCAGGTGAGCTGATTGGTTGACAAAGCCAGGGATCTTTATGCTATTGTATTCTCTGTCGAGCGAGGTACCCAGCTGGCCATGTGCACTGAAAAAATTAGATTTGTCCAATGTTTTAGCTACCATAAGACCATATGTGTCACAACGCTGTGGAATCAGGTGCTAGTCTGTTTTTGGGCATATGGAGTTAATGGTATCATCTTAAAGTTGGTTCATTTGTCTTGCTTTTGATGAAAAAGTACCCATCTATCTTGAATAGAAGTCAGGCTTTTTGCGATTGTAGGAGGTTTGGTTCGCCTGGCATCAGGTAAAATAGATGAGAAAATGGAGCAACACGATCAAAATACATTATAATTGATTCAAGAGCAACAAATACATACGTTATTGGTATCACATGAAAGCTGATTTATTTGCCTTGCTTCCAAAAAATATCCATCTATCTGGAATAGAACTCAAGATATTAGTGGTTGAAGGAAGTGAGATCGCCTGGTTTCAGTGGGGAAATTAGCGAGAAAATGGCCGCCAAAGTTTGATAACTTCTATAGCTAAGAAGTCCTTGAAAACAGAAAAATGACATATTTTGTGCCGATAATCTATGTTTTTCAGTAAAATTCACATGGAAATGTGTTTTTAAATGGACATAACAGAGGTTAAGCCAAAAAATAAAAATTTGATAAAAATTTCCAAACTGGCGGAAAAATGCCTGGGGTTCTCCGATTTCTGTATTTTGACGAGCGCCTGATTTAACCTCACTGCCTCACATATGGTAAAACATTTTTATTCTGATACTTTTTGTCTTTACCGCCTAGTGTGTGTGACTGCGTTATTTTGTTCTGTTTTGAAGTATTATTGAAAAAGAAAATGGTGAAAAACATTTTGTGCTCTTTGACTTTTCTACAGGAAAGCATCCCCGAACAGCCGTAAGGTTGTCAAGTGGAATGTAGAGGATACTTTTAAATGGCTGCGGAAAAGACACAACTGTTCCTACGATGATTATTTGGTAAGCTGCTGTTAGGGAAAAAAGGCATATATTGGAGTAATATTATGAGTTGAAAATTTACAGAAGTAGCTGGGCTTGCTCTTTCTTTTAATAATTCAGTCAGATCAATTGGCAGGTTTCTTGTTCTTAAGTGAATAAGTTTTTATTTTAAGATTAAGTAAAATGCAAATGTTTTGTTCAACATGGTTGGTTGCTGATCAAGAAAATGTCAGTTTTTTGGGTGGGTCTAGTGGCTGACAATTTTATATATATATATTGGATGAAGTTTTTGATTTTCTGTGAAACAGCTTTTTTACCTATTTGAACATTGCTGAATCATGTTCTTCAGTTCATTTTGGATAAAAAACACTCTAAAATAACTGAAAATCTTTCTCAAACTTAATGTTTGAAAAAAATCAGCTTTAAAAAAATTTATTTTACGTTAAAAAAATTGGATAGTGATAAATTATTTGTAAATGTAGATGCCTTGATGAGCCATAAATGCTATTGTGCTGAAAAGGCTATCTGTGATCAAAGAATTTTAAAAGTTCAAGTTGATTGTTGTATCCCTCGTCTAAACGCCTGCCTGTTTGAAACGTCACTTCACCTCTTCTCTCTTAGGAGCGTCTGACCCATCTGAAGCGACAGTGTGAGCCTCATCTTTATGAGGCCGCCGAGGAGTCGGTGAAAGGTATCTGCACCAAGATCTACAAGATGTCGTGTGAGAATGTGCAGAAAATACAGGACAAGACCTGGGAAATCTTCAAGGAGCACAACATCACAGGTGACTTATGGCTCTTGAGTTGTGTGGGTGGGTGTGGGTGTCTCTCTCTTTCTCTCTCTTTTACTTTCTCTCTCCCACACACACATGCACACACGCACACACACACACATACACACACACACACACATTACTTGATCACTGTAACAAAGAGCTAATTTTTTATCACGGATGTGAAAAAGGCTGCCAAAGTTTGGTGACTTCCAAAGCTTGAGAGTCTTTGGAAACTGCAATTGTACATTTTTTGTCCCTTTGATCAGCGTTTTTCAGTAAAATCCACACAGAATGTCATGTGTTCTTGAATGGACGTAAAGGGCGTTGAGCAAAAAAAACAAAAAAAAAAAAAAATTCTATAAAAATTGCCCAAGCAGCGGAAAAGTGCTGATATCTTCGATTACATGGATGTGATATTTTGTTTTTAAGCAAATGCACACTTATTTCTAGGGTTGATCTGTCAAGACAAATCGTTGCATTTGTGTTGTTATAGTACTATTGCTTCTGTGCGACCTGTGCGTAAAAAAGGTATTTCTGTCAGTTATATGCATGTAAATGCACATGTATTCAGAACTGAGTCTTCTCTCCCTCTTTGTCTAGTCTTTCTTGTGGGAGAAGGATGATCAAGGAGCTAACTGGTGGGTGTTGTGCGCTTTGTGCACTGTGCACTTCTGGTCTGGTGATCAGTTTGCTGGCGGTATGGTGGGGCAAGTTTACATTAGTTAAATAAAGATCATACAACTTACACAGTTGGCGGATGGAGTGTGTGAAGGCGAAAGTGAAGGTGCTCCTTTTCATACTTTGGCAAAATGTGATGGTAAGTGGAGCTGGCAATATAAAGGGAGGTGGTACAAAGAGGTTTGAGAGTTTTCAGTTTGACTTCTACGTGTGTTAACACAACTTGATGAGCTCAGGTCTATGTTTGTATTTGTGACCCTCCTCCTCAGAGGGTACCCCTCTACCAGAACCAAGCAGCCCGCGAATGACGTATTGCTACGCTGTGCAGATGAGTGTCCCGTCTCCGCGTCTGCCGGTCGTGGAGCGCATCTTGGAGAATGAGGTTGCTCACCTCCGGTTTAAAAATGAAACCCTCAAGATGAATCAAGAGCACTTCTGGAAGATGGTAGACTCACTTGTTCTTGTATTTTTTATTTTCTCCTTTCTTCCTTCTTCCTGTTTTACATTCTCCTCATATTCCCTTTCCTCCTTTTGGTTATCTTCTGTATCTCTGCGCATCTTTCTTTTATTGTTTGTCATCCTCCAACTCCTTCTTATTTATCTCCTCCTTCTCTTCCCCTTTTACCTCTTCAGTTAGATCTCATGAATAGCTGTGATTGTTGTTTCTTGAAATCTGTCTCAGTGCTACTAAATTTTTAATGGTAGTAGTTAGATTTTTGTATTGTCTGTTTTTGCCCAGTTGGTTCAGATAGATTTGAAGAGATGGTAGGGGAGCACTTTGGTGTGAGAATGTGTCATAACTATAACAACAAACAGTGTTGACCAAAATGTCGCGCTTTGAAGGAGTGGGTTAACTGCATTCAGCATGTGTGACTGTCATTGTTGCTGACCGTCTTTCTAAAAAACATGAAAATATTTAGTTTTTTAAAAAGAAATACTGCTGGGGTAGTTCAACTTGAGATCTGTTGACATACTGTAAAGTTCAGGCAACTGAGCGCACCTCTATATAAGCTGCAGGGTATTTAGACGTCCATGGGAGTCTTGAAAAATACTCATCCCTCTGCTGGACCGTGTTTTTTAGGCGTATGCTCATAAGCGGTGCCCATTGGCAGGATCTGTTCTGTTTGGTTCCGTTCGATTTGCTATCATCATGGAACAAATCGAACGAAACCGATAATGACCTTAAAAAATAAACATATTTGATTTCAAGGCCTTGAGTTGGGCGATTGGATAGAGGCAAGGGTTTATTTGTATTGTGCACTGAAGCCGCCAGAAACTGAACCGAACCAAACCAAATTGAATTGAGCTTCTAATGGGCACTGCCTTTAAATTGTGGTGTTTAGGAAAATATGTCAACTTTTTAATGTTTTAGGTAAATGCTAAAAGTAGACAAGGGAGTGATGCTCCGGAAATGGGGAAAGTCTGTAAATAAGCCTGATTGATTATTTTTTTGCTTCAAATTTCAGAGCTGAGAAAAGAAGGTATTTTTTACAGTCCGAACTTTACAGTAATCTTTTGTTTGAACTTTTAGTTGCGGTGTTATAAACTGCCACCGAAAGGAACGCTTGGCGCAGGGCTGTCCGTCTTGCCAGCAGAAACAACGATATCAACTACAGGGAGAAACTGACTATCAGAAGAGAGAGGAGACATAATCCAACCACCCCAACCACGACATTGTACATCCAAGATCGGATTGCACAGCCACATGCGCGTCCACAGATGAGCCGCAGGATTTCATCGTCATCTTCGGCAACGAAGTACTACCTACATGTCATTAACATCTCTTGAATTCTAAAAAGGAATTTTTCTTTTTTTCAGGAACAGCTGTATGGTCTGAACTGTCGAGATGACCAAAGGTTCGACAACTTCTTAGCAAGGACCTGGTGCCTACTGAAAAGATATCAGGTGAGATTAGAGAGACAAGAGAAGAGTACAAGCTTAAAAGATAGATGTCTACATACCGACTGAACAATTGTTGTATTGACTTGGCAAATTTGATAACAGCTTTGTGAACATAGCCAACAATTCTTTCTATTTCGTTTTGCAAACTGTTTGCCTCTGAGTGTGTGTTCTTAACTTGTGCTTTGTGTGGTGTTTTATTTGTGATGGGAAGCTCATTCTTCTCAGTCCTTGTGAGCTTAGACTTTCCTTGGCCTGTATTTAAAATCATTTGAGGTACTCTTTTTAATAGAGGAATGAACAAGAGGATGCAGGCAATGTTGCCACCACTGACATTTTTCTTAATGAGAAGCAACTGAGGCTGCTTGCAGAAGTTCTTGTACTTTCTCCTGCAGCTGTAATCAGTTGTGTAAAATAGTATTGTAAGCAGTGTCTATCACTCTGAATTAAATGTTTGAAAGAAGTGTACAGTAGCAATACCACAGCTTTTTAAAATGTAGGTAGTACTAACCGATAAACAACACATAAGTAAAGATCAATAATATTTCTGTAGCAAAATGCTTTTCACTTTTTGTAAATCGGTCCATGAATTTACAAAGTTATGGCTTGGTACATGTCAGTAATTTTGGTATGTTGGGAAAAATTCTATAGAGGAGTAAAGGGGAAACAAAACCGAATTATTGAACACGAACATGTTGCTAGATTTATGGACCGAATGAGCTGATTTTTTGTGCAACTGAATTGAAAATAAAAGAATTGAAGTTGTAGTCTCAGTACCCTCATAACTATATGCAAATATCTAATTAATTATGATTATTTCAATTAAAAAACAAATGAACCATGACATATTGAAATACAATTGTCCATTCTGTGATAACAGTTGTATGTGTATGCATAAAAATCTGTTAGCGAAGGGGAAAGTCAGAAAATGTGGTTAAAAAAAAGGTTTTGAATGTTTGATTATATTATGTTCAAATACGTAGTTATTTGAGCTTGGATATGTCCCTGCCCGTCCATACTATGAAAATATAGCTTAGAACTATAATATTGCAATTACGCCAATCTGATGTGTGTGTATTCTGTAATTATTTTTGTTTTTCTACTTTATCATTATGATAAAGCAGGTCAACAATGTTTGCACAAATCAACGGAAATCTACCTCTAAGTAATCTTCATTCTGATTCTGCCGAAAACATGTTTAAATATTATAAGAATATAATATATAATTATCTAGAAGTCTATATAAGCATTAGATTTGCGTAAAACCAAAATTACGCAAATAACGGCAAATTAAAAGCAACCTTCATTATGCGTCCTATTCCATGAATACGATGTTTTCCGTGGCATTCAAGTCAATTGAAATAATCGTCCAATCAGTGGCTATGCTCTACACAGCCATGATGTCGCAGCGAGCTAGTGGCGCGCTTTTATCGTGTGTGGCAGTTTTCCTTTCTGGCTTTTAGGCCACGCGAAAAACAGGAACGAAATTGACATTATTTTAGTATGCAATCGTTTTCTAGGAATTTGTGACAAAATAGCTTTCAACCCTAAATAGCTTTCAACCCTAAATAGCTTTCAACCCTTTGGGCCCTGACCTCCTGAGGCTCCATTGCCCCTCTGCCCGAGTTCCTGAGCTATATATTACTAACGTTCATGTGATTGTCAAATTCACTTTCCATGTCCCACTCAGGGTAGTCCTTGTCATTGCCAGCATGTAATTCGGAAAGGTCTTCAAAATAATCAATAAAGTCTTGTGTAGTAAATGCTGTTTTGTGTACCCGTGTTGTGTATGCGTGTTGTCTCAGGCGGGTCAGGTTGGAGATGGGGTCTTGCTCACCGCTCTACCAATGGCTAGGCTACAGGCAATTTTACGTGTCACCGGTGGCAAGGGCTCAAAGGATTAATGTTATAAAAATCAACCCATCTGAGATGATGTGGGACCCGCAAACAAATCAAATACACATTTTCAAGACCAACGTGTCAAAGGAACCACATTGTAACTTTTGTGTTTTCAGCTCCATTAAAATACTGGAACCAGCGATGGGAAGATCCATCTCTCTTCTCATTGATAGCCAAATTTGGGGACATTTGGGTAACGTTAGATGGTCTCCACACTTTCTGCATAAGGAGAGGTGGAAAAGCATGGTGCCATTCAGCGGATTTTGATTTGCTGCCGGGCAATCCTCTTTCTTCAATAAAAGCTTGATTATTGTTGAAGGTATTTGAAAACATTTTTTCTACAGTGAATGCCTCAATTTCTCCTGCGTGTATTGATGTATGATACATATGGCTGACGCAAAAATCAGTGTTATTAATTGGCAAGTTCCTGGGGTTACCCCTGGCTGGGACGAGTCTACCCCGTTTTTGCACTGCCGGCATGGGGGTGTGGTTTTGCTATATACAGTCCTGGAAATTGTGAACCAGTATGTGTATCTTCTCAGAATATTATCTGTTCTCTGAAGTAGATGTGCGCCCTTACAGTTGAGCATCGACTTTTTTCTCTTTGTGTGATCCTTGTTTTAAATGCAGTTTGTTGTTATCGATCCAGAAAATGCAGTTTAAATGCTGATCATTTCTGGGTGGTTGGTGGGTGCTCTGGTGTGGTTTGCTCCTGTTTTCCTATGAAGCATCTATCGTCTTCGTCTCCCCTTCTTCTTTTTTTATGTTTGTTACTGTCTTGTAACACCATTAATCTTCGGTGTGGGTGGTTGGCGGGTGCTCTGGTGTGGTTTGCTTCTTCTTTCCTATCAAACTTCTATCGTCCCGATCTCTCCTCCTTCTTTTTTGTGTTTGTTACTCTCTTGTAACACCTCTAATCTTCAACACTTATTTACTTTATTGTGTTGCAAGTGCCTTAAAACTCTTACTAAAACTAAATTTTCGGCTCCTATAGGACCGTATTGTGTTGCATATGCCTTTAAAGTATTACTAAAACAAGCAGGTCATTCAATGTGAATTTGTTTTGTGATTCTTTCCCAGACGTACTTTGGCATCAACGCCAACGAGGGCAAGGGAAATCAGGGTGCTTTGTCTCCATCGCTAATGGAGTGTCTGCACCGTGTGTTTGGGGTCACCTTTGAGTGTTTTGCTTCTCCTCTCAACTGTTACTTTAGACAGTACTGCTCTGCTTTCCCTGACACGGACGGCTTTTTTGGCTCCAGGGGGTGAGAAGCGTGTGCGCTCTGTTTTTGTTTTGGTGATGAAGAGTGAGTGTTTGTTTGTCTTTGCCTTAAATTGGTAGTGAAGTATTGGTAGTGCTTGTTACCTAACATTTCATTTTAGATTATTTTCAGACCTTTCAGTGCTCTTTTTATCTGTCTTATAATAAAATATTGAAAAGTTGAAGAGAAAATTATCATGGTATTAAAATGTCAGTCTATTGTTGCCTTTCTCATTTTTTATTTTACTTTTTGAATTGTTTTTTTTTTCAGTTACTGTGTTACTTTTTTGCTTTTGCTTTTATTTTTTGAATTTATGTTTGTAAATTTTACTTTTTCTCTAGCCCATTCCTGGACTTTTACCCGACCAGTGGCTCGTTTGAGGCCAATCCTCCCTTCTCTGATGAGCTGATGGCGGCCATGGTGGACCACATGGAGAGTCTGCTGGGGGAGACGAATGAGCCACTCTCCTTCATTGTGTTCATCCCAGACTGGCGAGATCCGCCCACTGAAGCACTGATTCGTCTGGAGAGCAGCAAGTATGTCGTGTTATAGCAAGTTTCCAGGTGTACGTTGTTTGAATTCAATTGATAAAATTTTTAACACATGAATTAGTTGCCTTGCAACAGATGTGAGTTTGGTTGTGTTGATTTGAGGAAATATAATTTTGATAGAAATCCCAGTTTTTTCAGTTTTTTGCTGTGATGTGATGTCCCATACTTCTGGGTAGGCTTCAAAGGCAGTGTTGACGAAGCATGCTTTCTCAATCATTTGATGTGTATCGGTTAAGTCATGAGACATTTTCAAATCTCATTTGGTATCAATTTAGAATGGGAATTAAACCAAAGGGCTGGGAAATATTTTTGCAAAGAATAGATGTTCTATCTGTTTTTATTTGCTGTTGACTAAGGATGTCAGATGCCTCGACTTTTACTGTTTGTGCATTTAAAAAAAATGAATTTCCTGTGTTTCTGTTCTTACAGATTCAAGCGGAAACAGTTTATTTGCCCTCCGTTTGAGCATGAGTACCGCCATGGATTTCAGCATTTACCCTCAGCAAAGTAGGTGGACTCTTGTGTTGTCCTGACCGTGTCTTTTGTTTTACGTTTGACATTCTTAATTCAAAAGATAGAGAATGATTTTGTTTATTCCCCCGCGGAAATTTGTTCCCTTAGTTCAATGGGTGTACTAGTTTTCCCTTTTTTTGAATTATTCCTGAATGGGCATGATTTTAATTTCTTAACTCAGTTGGTATCATGATGGATTACAGTAAAGTTGACCATCATTCAAAAATGCATTACCGGCACTCTAGTTGTTTTGTTGAGTCTTTGAGGCTCTCAGCCCGTTCGTCTTGGTCCTATGGGAGGTCGATTTTCAGTTTAGAGGTCCTGTCTAAGCTAAAACAGCAGCTGGACATGGATGGCTTGTGCCTCTATAAATAAGTCATTGATGGTCAAGGTCCTGTTTCTTAAATAACTCAATAGTGTTCATAGGGGCCTTAAACCTATACACTATACTCTTGAATTTGGGTTTTTAAGGAAGTGGTGAAGGCTCTCCATACTTTATTTCTGTGGGGGAATTATTTCACATTATATCAATACAGTGACTAGGTTTTGTTTCCTTGCTTGCCAACTACAAATTGAGCATGATTCTTATCTTTTAGGATGTGTTTTTAGACTAATGATGTCCTCTTGATTAGCATGAGGGCAACTGTTGAAAGTTCATCTTGCTTAAGTGTGCTCCGACAATGGAGGTTATTGATCTTGAGGAATGAGGGTTTCTTAATTATTTACCAGGGGATACATTTTCTTTACAGCTGTTGGAGACATTGCATAATATGACCCTGCTCAAAGTCCGGCTGACTTTGCTCTTTACAACTGTGTCAAGGGTACCAGAAGCCCTTTCCAACCATATTTAATATATATTGTTGGTTAATGTACATTTTTACTGTTTTACTGAAGAGTTTTTTCTTACGGTGTTTATTTAATCTGTTTTCAGAAGTGAAATGAGTGCTAAGGCAGTGTTTGGGACGCTGGTGGTATTCCTGCAGAATGATGCCGGATTTGCACGATGGGAACCAACTTCCGAAAAGATCAAGGAGCTGATTCTAGCGTCCAAACCGAAAGACCCCATCACAAACCCGTCCTCGCCATCCTGATAAGTCATCTCCCTTTTCCCCCTCCCTTCTGCCTGACATCACCACCGGCATCATCATCCTCCTCCCTACCTTCGCCATGTATTCATCTGCAATATCAGAAGACCCA